ACATAGTATTGTATAGTGTTATACATTATTTAGCTTTATATATATTCGTTCACTTCTTTGTTTCTGTGCATTTTATCTTATTGAGTCGATTGTAATATGAGAACGATTTCATTCCGCATTTATCTGCAATGTCTCCGGCCCACCTCCACACAACTTGGGGGTGGATTGCATAGTCTACCCATGATTTGAACTAGGTACCAAATCCTCGTCGCAGCAATTGCATATACAATCCTGCAAATGAAATGTATGTATGCATACTTGTCATACGTATATAAATACGTATGCACTCATGCCATACATATAAACATATGTATGGAACTGTGCTATATATGTATGTATCTGTCTACATCTGTGGTTGATTTAAAGTAACTGTGTTGACACCACATCACACATCTCCCGCGGCGCGATCCTTCTCAAACCACTTGTCGCGCATGCCTGTGCTCCGCAGAGTAGGCGAGTGCACCTTGCCCACGAGTTCGGACTGCAAACCGACTGGCATGGGCGGCCCGTTGCCATTGTAACCCGTCCTAGGGCCGGGGGTCCCATTCCTGGGGCTGAGTGTGGTGCGGGGTGGGGTGCTCGCACGCGCACCCCCGGATAGGTCCAGTCGCATGCCACCCTCGGACATTTGCTCTCGGTGGCCTTTGGTCCTAGGACTGGTGGGCTGGGTAGAGGTTACGGTACCCCTGTACCTGGTGCCTGTGCCTGTGCCTGTGTTTGGGTCTGGGTCTGTGCCCGGCCCTTTAGCAGTGGTGCGGGTGCTGTGTGGCTTCGTGAAGCTCTTACTGATGCGCACGCCCCCTGTGGCTGGGGTGTTCTGTTTGGTGGAGAGGTCAGTGGCCGAGTCATCGCTGTCGGTTGTGGCTGTGGGTTTGTGAGGTGTGGTTGTGGTATTGGTCAGTGTTGTCGTAGGTTGTGGCTGTGGGTTTGTGAGGTGTGTTTGTGGTATTGGTCAGTGTTGTCGTAGGTTGTGGCTGTGGGGTTGTGAGGTGTGATTGTGGTATTGGCCAGTGTCGTCGTAGGCTGTGGCTGTGGTTTTGTGAGGTGTGGTTGTGGTATTGGTCAGTGTTGTCGTAATCAGTGTGTTGGCGATGATGCAGGTAGAGGAGAGGTGGGGTGGAGCGGAGGGGGGGGGGTGGGGTGATATAGGTTTGGTTACCACCTACCTGTATAGCAGTACATGAATAGCTATGACTCCCTACAGATCATTTACATGCATATCTAAATGAAAAGCTATGACTACTTACAGATCATATACATGCATATCTAAATGAATAGTCATGACTACCTAC